GACCAATGTTGTTTCAGAGTTCTATGTTGACTCACTTCTTCCTAATTACAGGCTTTGGATGGTCATTTTAAACACTTTTTTTTTCTTTCTACACTTGTGGTTTTGCAAAGCAACTCAAATAAAAGGAGTTTAGAGAATTAGCAACCAAACTCACATTCTACAATAAGGGCCAGAGCAATAGCAGGTGAGGTGTTTGCCTTGCTTGCAGCTGACCCAAGTTTGATGGATGGGACCACATATGCTCTCCAGGACACTGCCAGGAGCTGTTCCCTAAGCACGAAGTCAGAAAAAAGCTCCGCACACAGCCAGATGTGGGCCGGAAACCAAATGCAAAACTAATCCAAGCTAAAAAAGATTCTATAATAAAATATATAGAAAATAGGAAAAAGCAATATTATTTTTAAATTTTCATCCTAGACATTCATTAAAATGAAGATCATTAAATGCCTTTTATTTTTCCTTTTGGGGTCACACCTGGCAATGCATAGGGGTTCCTCCTAGCTCTGCACTCAGGAATTACTCCTGATGGTGCTCAGAGGACCATATAGGATTGCTGGGAATTGAACCTGGGTCAGCCGCGTGCAAGGCAAACGCCCTACCTGCTGTGCTATTGCTCCAGCTCCTAAAATGCCTTTAATGTTGTCACTTAGAAATAAAAATCTCAAATAGTTTGTTTGAAAACAAATAAAATCACCATCCATTATTACACTAGAATGGATAATTTGGGAAGAGATTCTGAATGCCTATCACGGGAATATGGTACTCAGTGCTCTCAGATTCTGGGATTAGAAAGAATCACCCAAGGTATGTTACAAGGAATTTGGGGATCTCTTCAGTCAGAGAGGGAACCACTCTGGGCTGTTTTTATCTTTCTTTCTTTTCTTTCTTTCTTTCTTTCTTTCTTTCTTTCTTTCTTTCTTTCTTTCTTTCTTTCTTTTTCTCCTTCCTTCCTTCCTTCCTTCCTTCCTTCCTTCCTTCCTTCCTTCCTTCCTTCCTTCCTTTCTCTTCAGTGAAGCATGACACTTTTTTAGTGAATGAAATTTACTTAGAAAGACATGAGGGGACAGAAAGAGGAAATACTTGTTCAGGAAAAATGCAGGGTTTCTCTGAAGTGGAAAAAAAGCAACAATGAGACAGAGGCAAGCAAGTGATCTAAGGCACAAGGCAAAGCACAAGACCAGCCCAAAGACCAGCCTGGGCTGCGTGTCTCAACACAGCTGTCTTTCTTGAGCACTCCTGATTGCTGATTGCTGCTAATTTGTTAACAACTATGTGTCTGGGACTGATACAGCAAATGCAAACGCAAAAATGGTTAAAAACATCCTGTTCTCAAGGAATTCACTTAGAACGAAGAACAGGGAAATTAGAGATTACAGTAGTCAGATAAAATGACATTCCACCTGATAGGATGGAAGTGATCCCAGAAGTATCAAGGAAGTCTATCTCCTCGCCCTGATAACCCACGAGGGAAGGGTCCCTTCAATCAGATGAGATGAGCAGGGAATGCCGAACAGGGAGTGCCTGCCCTCATTTCTACGTTCATTGGATTTGTAAAGAGCAGTAAGAGTCTATACATAAGTTCCCAAAGGGGGAGCATGGAGAGAGAGAGAGAGAGAGAGAGAGAGAGAGAGAGAGAGAGAGACTGAGAAAGAGGAAACAGAGACAGACAGAGAGCGAGAGAGACAGAGAGACAGAGAGAAAGAGAAGAGAGAGAAGAGACAGAGGCAGACAGAGACAGAGAAAGAGCGAGAGAGAGAAAGAGAGAGAGAGGGAGAACAGTGGGCAGGGCCTTTGTCTTTCAAGAAGCCAACCTTGGTTTGATCCCCAGCATGCTAAAGGGTCCCCTAAGCCCTGCCAAGAGTAATCCCTAAGCAGAGAGCCAGGAGTAAGCCCTGAACACCACCAGGTGTGACCCCCCCAAACAAATAAAAAAGTAAACAAAAAGAAAAGAGTATTTACATGGATGCTTCAAGAAGATATTGAGCTAAAAATTGTTTTCTGGCTAGAGAATGGTGGAAACAATGACCCAGGGTTTAGCACTTGCAAAGAGATCTATAAAGCACATGTCTGCGAGTTCTATATTTGTTAGAAGTTTCATTAAACTTCTTCTGACCAGATTCACATAATCTTTCCCTTCTCTCCTATACTTATCTTCATTTCCTTTCCCCCTACAATCTTCTCCATTACAAAAGTAAAATAAAGGTTGTAGATTTCAAGTGGTGCTGGAGAAAATGGATTGAAAGCACAAGAATATGCTTTAGAGGAATTTCTGATGCTCATTCTATGTCTTTTCTTCATCTCTTGAGCACAGTTGTAAGGTTCAAAAAGGCTTTTGGAAATGCTACAGCAGCTGACTGCAGGATTTTTTACTTTAGCTCAGATCCCATATTTGCTGTAATCAAATTATAGTTGTATCAGCAGGACAAACAGGAAAAGCTTGTTCTTGGTCTCTTTCCCAAAAAGGAAGTTGATCACTCTGCAGCCAAGACTTACTAAAATAACTCACAATAGGGGAACGTGTCAGAACTGCACCTGAATGATATTTTTGCTTAAATTATTTTTTAGATCCTGTTAATGCATAAGCAGTTCTTGGCATTTACTTGGCGAGTTTTGAAAGTATACATTACTGTCTATAGACAATTTAGGTTTTAGTTAGTGAATTACAGATCTTTGGTGTTTTAACAGTTAGATGACCTGAGTAACTTTTTTCCAATTAAATGTTGGATTCATAAAAATATATGATTATTATGTAGGTAACATAATTACAGTCATCTTAACAACCATGATTTTAGTGCATACAGTTACTGCATGTACCTTCAACCCCAGCACCAAAATGTCTGAGATAGTCTCAGTGATAAAAGGTAATTGGTTTCCAAGCTCATTGACATATTACTGACTGAAAAATCTTCATGTCTGTGCTAGTAGATGATTCTTGCAATGGATGTGTATATTAACTAGATATGTAATGACTTCCTACTAAAAGGATATTTTGTGATTATCTGGCTGTATCTACACTAGCACCCAACTGGGCAGCCAATTTGCATTCTTTCGGTAAATATTGATTGTTCCCATTAGAATTCAGAGCTCTGAATCTTTAAAACTTGGGATCCCATGTCGGTTTGGAATAAAGTCAACCTTGCTGAGTTAGTTGCAAAGACTCTGAGAAAGCTTCTGAGGTTATGAAGAAGATCTTAATTTACTCTTTGACTTCTTCCTTCTAACACCCATCCCTCAATCTCTTCCTAGACATTTTGAATGCTTATAATTGACACAATTATCCTCTGTTGGGCCTTAATGAAACAGAACTATAAAATACTTTTAAGTCATCAGACATAAAGGTGACCCAGGGAGCACTGGCATCTTGAATTTTGGATTCTGTTGACCAATGCAGTTAAAAATGAAGGAAACACATACAGTTGCAAAGTTATTTTTTCACAATGTAGGACATTAAAAAAACTCAAATAGCAAAAGTTTATATAGACTACACCATTCTTCCCCCAGAAGCAATTTTTTAACATCAAAGTATAGCAATGTCAGTTCGTTCTTCAAGCCTGTGTTCTCCCTGGAACACGTATCTCACTTGCTCGGCACGATGCTTCTTTGCTTGCTTACTTCCACTCTGGAGAAGCCTGTGTTCTCTCTCAAACATGTACTTGTCTCTCTTTGTCTCTCTTCCTCCCTTCTCACATCTTTCTAAATAATTTAAAATAGAAACTACCTAGCTTCATCTAATATATATATATATATATATATATATATATATATAATGTAAATTCTCAGAGCAGATGTAGTCCTTCACAAGAGAGAACAATTGGTAATGTTAGGTTGATTTTTTTTTTCTGTGTCCAGGTGAAGAGTTTGTCTATGACTGCCTCTCACCTTTAGGTTATATGTTATGAAAAGCTTAGCATCATTCCACTTCACACAATTTTTGGTTTCTCGTCAATGAATAAAGAGCCTAAAAATGCAAAGTGAAGTCAGTGAGTATGAAAGAGAGACACAATAATCTCACTCATACGTGGGACCTGAAGGGTAATAGTAAGATGGCAACAAAGGGAACAAGATGGAAGAACTAATCCACACTATTGAGTTGCTGCCAGGAGCTTGACAGGGAGAGCACTGGGGCCCTTGTGGGAGAGAGGTGGGTACACCGTGGTTAGGTACGGTGTTGGAATTGTATGCATGGGAAACCAGTAATAACAATATTAAAAATTAAAAATTTTAGTCAATAAAAAATTAATTAAATAAAAGAAAATGTATTTTTGTCTCCTATGGTGAAAATTGTTATTTTAATTACTGAAGAATAAGTAGATTTACATTTTTTAATTGATTCAGAATCTGTGATTTGCAATACTGTTGATGAAGGTCTCTCATGCTAATAGTTCCAATATAGTACCCAACACCAGGGAACACCTCCAAGTCCAGATTTTTATACTTTAGTTATCTGCCAAAACTGGTCATGTGCTAAGGAATGTATGAAATAAATATTTGAAATACATATGCTTTACCCTTATTTCTGATCTCCACTTAGCTAAAATCATTTTGCTTCCTGTCTCAACTTTTGTTTTCTTTCCCCTTATGACTTTTCTTAAGACATTTGACTCAACTAGTGAGTGATCACTGATAGGTTGAATTCTAGTTTGTTGATTGATTGTTTAACTGATTGTTGAAGGTGTCTCAGCATTTCAAAAAATTACCCAAAGGGATCTTTTCAATTTATGGAGAGTTTTGAAGAATGAGGAAAAAATCATAATTTTCTATTCATAAAGCAGAAAGGTCAATGTATGCAATTGATATTGAAAAATGGTATTATGAGGAATATCACACAGATATAAATATCACTTTGGGTGTTTTTTTCCCTTTTAAGTCTCTTATTACTGGCCACAGTTTAGAGACACCAGGGCCAACACTTTCATTGAAAAGAAAAGTGAGAATGCTTATTTGATCATGGGTTTATATTATTCTTTTTTGTTTTGTTTTGCTTTTTGTGCACAAAATAGGCATTTACATCCTCACCCAAACCAAGTGAGACGTCACGTTCTTCCTCTTCCTTGGAGAATGTAACGGCGACAACCCCCAGTGGGTCATCTTCCTCGTGCCCGAGAGAGAGGCAGTCCTGGATTGCTATTGTCAACAGTTCTGCTGCTGAATCTGTAGGACCGCCTCTGACATTAGCTGTGCAGGTTCACTCACCGGCACCCCCAGAAGCAAACAGTCACCAGGCCCTGGAAAACAGTCTTGTCACATCAGAAAGTGGATTTTTGAACTCTTTATCCAGTGATGACACTTCTTCATTGAGTAGTAACCTAGACCATCTCACTGTCCCAGAAAAGCCTGCCGGATCGAGGACAAGAGACACAGGTAAACCAAGACATTACTCACTTTTTTTTTCTTTTTGGGTCACACCCGGCGATGCATAGGGGTTACTCCTGGCTCTGGCAGTGTCACTCCTGGCGGTGCTCAGGGGACCATATGGGATGCTGGGAATCAAACCTGGGTTGGTTGCATGCAAGAAAAAAGCCCTAACCACTGTGCTATCTCTCCAGCCCCACTCTCTTTTCAATAGAGATTGTATACATGTTAGATGGAACCTAATGTACATTGGACAAAGGAAATTTTAAAGCCATGAAATATCCCAAAATTATTAAACGGTCAAGTGGAACCTAGTCCAAGAGCTTTCTGTGGAGGAGTTTAAGTTCAGAAAATTCTAGTTTCAAGGGCATTTCTTACCCACTGACCAAATGCATAGAGCAATAAGGCATTGATTACAAAAATAATGATACTTCTACACCAAATCTAAGATAAAGCTCTTCTTTTGGTCCCATGCCCAATGCTCTGAGCTTGTGTTTAGATTAGAATTTTGATGCTCCAGTCACTGTACCAATAGTTCCAAACAAACTTAGAGCAAGCACTATATCCTTAGGACAGAGCTAAGAATGTGTTCTTGCTAGTCGGCTTTTCAGTTGTCTGCAGTCCCTGGGAAGATATATAATTTGTGTGCTTTTGCAGGACAGTAATAGAGCTTTTAAGCAAAGGATGACTTAGGCTACTGAAAAGCATTTTCAGACTTAACAAAGAAAAGAGTTAATGGGGTGTAGAATTAATAACATGAGCTTTCTTAAAACTCTGTGATAATTAGCTTTTATTCAGACTAACTTAAAAATTAATTTTCTGCCATGAGTCTTTTTTGATGGTCTATGCTTTGTTTATTCTGTTATAAAATGAGTTCATCTTATGTAAGACTCTCAGTAATGTGAGAGTGATGGGTCTGGTTTCTATTATTTTGCTTTGCTGGTGAGTAAAAGCAGACAGTCTAAATCCATGGATGTCTATTTAGATTGACCCAGTAATTGCTCTCTCCTCTCCACTAGCCTATTCAGACAAAGTTTCTGTAAGGTATTAAATTTTGGAGTGCTTCTAAATAATCAAATACTAGATTTCAGAGTCATGTAAGTAAAGAGCTACCACTTCAGATCCAGGTGTGTGTGTGTGTGTGTGTGTGTGTGTGTGTGTGTGTGTAGTATTTTAAGATATGCTAGAGAAGAAGGACAAGCGAAAAGCACAGGATCATCTAACTTATCTGTAGTAAAGGTAAAGGTAAAGGCCCTCCCGTTGATCGTCGATTTACTCGAGCAGGCCCAGTAACATCTCCATTGGAGACTTTGTTGTTACTGTGTCTGGCATATCGATCTGTAGTATATAGAAGAAATGGATGAGTGAATGCAATGTTTGAAAGGGTGGATACCTAGATAACACTTGGCCCCAGAATATAGGAAGGAGAAAGGCAGAGGAGGGAAGAAAGTAAGGGAGGAAAGGAGATGGTGGGAAGCAATGGGGAGCAGCATTCTAGGGGATCTGAGTACATCAGTGCTGTAAAGGAGTAGTAGGAGTAGTAGCACTGTAGCACTGTAGCACTGTTCATCGATTTGCTCGAGTGGGTACCAGTAACATCTCCATTGTGAGACTAGTTACTGTTTTTGGCATATCAAATATGCCACAGGGAGCTTGCTAGGCTCAGCCGTGCAGGGAGGATACTCTTGGTAGCTTGCTGGGCTCTCTGAGAGGGACAGAGGAATCGAACCCAGGTTGGCAAGGCAAACACCCTACCCACTGTGCTATCGCTCCAGCATAGTATAGCTAAATCCTGGAGCTATATCGCTCCAGGAATAGTATAGCTAAATATCCAACCCACAGTCAACAACACTGAAAACAAGAGACCTAAACTTCAACAACCAAATTAAAAAAAAAAAAAGTCTGTCAAAATGGCAGGATAAGAATGGTGGGTAGGTTGGGTAGGTAGGTTGGTATAAGAATACAGTATGTTTTAAAACCCAATGATTAATAACTTGGTAACTCATGAGGTTTTAATAAAATTTTAAAAAGATGCTAGGGTGGGCCATGTACTCAGCTAACCCTGGTTCGATTCCTGGTGCCACATATAGTCCCCGGGATACCTCCAGCACTCCAGCAGTGCTCCCTAAGCACAGAGCCAGGAGTAAGCCTTAAGCTGGGAGTGTCCAACCCTCCACCCCCGCCCCCCACCACCCCTGCTAAATATGCAAGGAATTCAGCAGTCAGGGCTCATACTTTGCATGTGCAGGGACAAAGTCCAAACCCAGATATCAGGAGGTGTAGTCCTGACCGGCGCTAAGCTCCACTAGAATGGTCCTGGTAGTCTCTAGCACTGGGCCTGAGCACCTCTGCCTCCGCGGGCTCTAGCATCGAATTGTCTGGCCTGATTGACTCAATATTGCTACAAGTGGCTCCTGGTGCCCTCTTGAGTACTGCTTGGGGCCCCCCAAAATGTGACTGTAAAGGCTAAGACTGGGAACTCATTTTCAGACCACAGCTGTGGTGATCACTTCTGTAGATGTTTAATACATTTTCTGTTAGTTGTCTGCTTGGCCTAACCTCTGATGGCATTTTCACTGGACACTTCCAATTTAGGACAGAAAAATCTTTTATGTTAGAAAAAGTGGAAAGAATAAACTCATCAGCAAATTAACCTACAATAAGGAGAGGTGAATGAAGTAGAATAGGGAGGAGAGTGAATGGGTCAATGAGGAACCTGGGAAATCAAGATTGTATTGTGAAGAGTGGGACAGGCTGGCCTCTGGCTTGTGAAGTTCTCTTCTATAGAAGTGTGGGCTCAACATGTTTCTCTTTGGAAGTACATAATTGGTGCAAAATTTGAAGCCAGTGATGTACTTAAAAAGATAATAGTTTTAGATTCAGCATAAGAACTTTAACCTTGAGACCCATACAGAAAAGAACACGCAATTTGGAAAGTCAGACATACTTGTCACTGGAATTACTTGCTCATTTCGATACAATTTTGATGAAGAATTGTTTGCTTATTGCATACCTTGATCACAATCTTTTTCTCTTACAAAGATTATCATGCTGGAGAGAGAATTTAAGAATTTTGAAGTAGATGCTAAATAAGTTGATGCTTCAAAGACTCACTTAGAGGTGGGACTGGTGGGGTACAACAAATAAGAAACTTAAAAGCTTCCTGCACACCCTTCAAAACTAGTACTGACAACAGAATTTCATCTGAATTCTTCCCCAAGAGATGATCCTGCAGACTGAATTCTTCTTTAGAATGAAAACCCTGAAATTCATGAGAAATGTTCCCTTTGCCCAATGACATATTCTGGGAATACAAAGGCATCCAGTCCAGGAAGAGTACTGATGAATAACTTATTTATTATTTATTTATTTATTTATTTATTTTGCTCTTTGGATCACACATGGCGATGCACAGGGGTTACTCCTGGCTCTGCACTCAGGAATTACTCCTGGTGGTGCTCAGGGGACCATATGGAGTTCTGGAAATTGAACCCAGGTCGGCTGCATGTAAAGCAAATGCCCTACCCTGCTGTGCCATTGCTCCAATCCCAGATGGGTAACTTTTTTAAGAGTAAATTTTTAATCTTAGAAGAAGCCTAGGGCACTGCGGTTCAGTGTTTTATTTACTTGTTTATCTTGGTGGGGGTTTCCTCTGCAGTGCTCAGGTGTCCTGGAATCTGTCCTACAGATAATTGTTCCCTTGGTACAAGCCTGATAATATGATGTTCCAGCCTGAATATAATGGGGTTATCTGGACCATAGAGGTGCTCAGGGGACTGTAAAGTCCTAGAAATTGAAAATAGGTCCTGTATCTGTAAAGCATAGATTCTACTCCTTTGAGCTATTTCTCTGGCTGTGGCCAGAAATATTTTTTTAAAAGTTTAAAATATATAAAAATATCCAGTAAGTACAGAATGACCATGCACAATTATGTAATTCATCAAGTAACTTAATGTTAAGGTATTAAATTGGTACAAGAGGAAATTATATAGCAATAATTTTCACTTACTGATTTGAGGGAAGTTATTATATGTCACAATTTTTTTCCTGCCCAAGTTTTTTCTCTTGGGGATTTGGTTAAATTACCAGAAGAGTTGCACTTCACTGTAGCACTGTTCTGTTGTTCATCAATTTGCTCGAGCGGGCCCAGTAACGTCTCCATTGTGAGACTTGTTGTTACTGTGCTTGGCATATTGAATACGTCACGGGGAGCTTGCCAGGCTTTGTCATGTGAGCGAGATACTCTTGGTAGCTTGCCAGGCTCTCTGAGAGTGGCAGAGGAATCCAACCTGGGTAAGACGGGCCGGCCGCATGTGAGGCAAACGCCCTACCCCTGTGCTATCACTCCAGCCCAAGTTAAACCACATAAAGTCATTGCTTTGGAAAATGCAAACTAGTCTTTGCTTGTGTTTGTGATGACTTATTGGTTAGTAGCAGATTGTTTGTAGGGCATTTTACACATGTACATTGGAGGAGAAAATATTTCAATTTTGTGACCATCAAAAATTATTGCTATATATCTTCCAATTCAAAAGTCCCTGAAATTCCTGTGTCTGAAATATTGTTCAGGATGATTTTCTGACAGTGATTGACGTTTAGACATGGATAAAGATATGAGTTGGAGTTTTAGATTAAATCCCAGTCTCAAGTTATGTTTGCTGGAGCAAGAGGCTTTTATCCTAAAACAGATTTTGGTATAAGTGAGGGTGGGGAGTGGTTGGACTACATTTGGTGGTGCTCAGGAATTACCCTTGACTTTGTTCTCAGGGATCATTCTGAGTGGGACTTGGTGGATAGTTTGTGGTACAAGAGATCAAACCTGAGTTTTCCATATGCAAGGCAAGTGCCTTACCTACTGTACTATCTCTCTATCCCCAGAAAATATGCCTAAAAATTAATAACTGCTCCTAAATCAAGAAGACAGCATTATTATAGCTTTCTTTTCATTTAGGCAATGAGAAAAATATTTGGTATTTGGTATACAATTTGTTTGGCTGGAGTGATAGCAC